AATTAATCATCTTTGTTACCTCTAGAATTCTGTATTATGTTTCCAAATGTTAGAACCTCAACATTCATAAATATTAAATTGAGAAATAAAGCACTTTGTGTCACAAACATCCAGCTAGCACAGAATTCTCTTCTCTCTCTCCCCCTCTCTCTCTCCCCCTCTCCCCTCTCCTCTCCGACTTATTTTAAGAATGTCAATTTTAGCTGGCCATATTATCATACTTCTGTCTCTTGAAATGTGGTTCATATAAGCTCCAAGCACCCTAAAGAATTTAAATTGCATGAGACTCCCAGGACAGAATCACAAAGAGAATTGATTCAACAGGAAGGGGTTATTTTTGTCCTCTTTTTTGAATCTCTTTATTTCAGAAACTACAACTGAAGCTTCAGCAGCCATCATCAACTATGAGGTAACGCTGAAGATAGAAGTTAGATGGAACAAAAGGAGGAACCAAAGGATAATAGTACCTTACTTTGATGACATTTGTAACTGCCTTTACTTCTTGGACTTCTTTCATGTGAGAAAGAAATAAACATTAATCTCACACAAAAAGCAGTTTGTTTGAATTTTCTAAAATATAGCAGACCTTACTTCTCAGTATAAAGCCATTTTCCTTCCATTTTACCTTCTTTCCCAATAAAATGCAATTTAGAAAGGATTTCCTCAAATGGGATAAACAAATGGTACTACATTAAACTAAGAATCTTCTGCACCACAAAAGAAATAATAAACAAAATGAAGAAGAAAAATACATCTCACAGAGTGGGAGAAATTATTTTCCCACCATTCATCTGACAGGGGAAAGCACTGCTATAACTTAACAAGGACAAACAAACACTCAAAATCCCAATCAAAAAATGAAGGGAAGAGATGAACAAAAATGTATCAAAGAAGACATACAGATGCCAGCAGGTATAAAAAATAAGTTTGCATCACTTATTATTGGGGAATGCAGTGATAAACAATGCAAAATAAAAAAAAATAAGATCTTACATCATTGAGACTGGCATACAGTACAAAAAAAAAACCAGCTTGGGCAAAAACATGGGGGAAAGCTTCCCTCATTCACTAGTCTAAACTTTTATTTATTTACCTTTTAATTTGGGGGCCACACCCAGCAGTGCTCAGGGCTTATTCCTGGCTTTGCACTCAGGACTCACTTCTGGAAAGACCCAGGCAACCATATGTGGCTCCAGGGATTGAAAACCACATTAGCCATGTGCAAGACAACCACCCTACCCCCTTACTATCATTTCAGTCCTAGTTTAACATCTTGGGAAATCAATATAAATACTTATCAAAAAACTAGTAATTGAGCTTCCCTATGACCTAGCAATTCCACTTCCCAATATAACTGAGGGCCCCTAAATGTCTCTTCAGAAAAGACATTTGCACTTCTATGTTCATTGTAGCACTCTTCACAGTAGTCAAAATCTGAAAATAACCCAAATATCCAAGAACATAAGACTGGATATAGAAACTGTGGCACAATGTACACAGTAGAATACTATTCAGCTATAAGAAAAGATGAAATTATTTGCTGCTATTAGGATGGAGCTAGAGTGTCATGCTGGGCAATGTTAGTCAGAAGGAGAGGGAGAGACACAAGGTGATCTCTCTCTCTCTCTCTCTCTCTCTCTCTCTCTCTCTCTCTCTAGGATATAACAAAACAGTAAGAAAATAACAAATGGCTTAAGGCAACAGAAATTGAGATCTGGTCTTCAGTAAAAAGTATACCACAGCAAGGGAATGAAGGAATAGGATGGAGGAACACTGGAACAGTGATGGAGGAAAGTGAACAATCTGGTGGAGGTGGTGCTTGAATGTTTTATGGATGAAACACTACCATTGACAGTTTTGCAAATCACACTGCCTAAAATAAAAGCAAATAAATTATTAGAAATCAACACAAAATGTCAATTTAGCCAGGTGAGGTGCTGATTTTTTCCTAAATACCTACAACCTTTGGTTCAGCTCATAAAAGAAAGAAGTGAAAATAAATTCTAATGAACGGTATCAAAAATGAAAGGAAAAAGTTGCAACAGATACCACAGAAATAGAAAAGACCCTAAGAAGTGACTGTCAACTTTATGTCATTTGCTGAAGAACCTAGAAGAAATGAATGAATTTTTAGACTCATACAATCTTCCACTCTGAGTCTGCAGAAAGTAGACGATCTAAAGAGATAAAATTAAAACAGTAAATACAAATCTTCCCCCAAACAAAAGGCCATGTCCCAGTGAGTTTACTAGAAATTTCTAGCATATCTTCAAGAACAAACTACTAACTATACTTCTCGAACAATTCCAGAGAATTGAAAAAACTGGATGTTTTCCCTAATAGCTTCTATAAGGACATTACAAGATATTACAAAAAAAAATTAAAGGCCAATATCCTTGATGAACATATACACACAAAAAACAAAACCTCAACAAAATCTTAGTAACTATTATTCAACAAATATCAAAAGAATTATAGGGTGCAATCAAATATATTCTTCTCAGGAATGCATGGATAACTGCCCCAAGGAGTGTGTGAGCACTGAGGGAGAGGGAATCCCACCATCAGGACCCCAGGACGGGGACACAGATATTGTGTCCCTCTTTGTGTCGCTTCACTCCACTTCTCTCCACAGCTGCACATTTCTTCACCACTCTGTCGCTCATCCTACACATACAGATACATTAATTAGGCTCCTAACCACTTAATTTAACAACCTTAAATGGCAAAAGTCATGATGGTAAAGCAACGCAGAAACCCACCAAGCTGAGGAAGTGAAGAAGCTATCCTAGATGGCCCAACAAGCAATAAAGAGCTATGTAACCTTTTTGATAAGAAATTTAGAATGGAGTTGTTAAGGATGCATAAGAAGCTCAAAGAAATCATGGAATGCACTGCCAATAAAATACAAGAGGATATGAGAGCAGAATTGAGGAAAATACAAGCAGAAATGACAGACCTATAAGGCCTCACCAGCAGAGTACCAGCTGTACGGAAAGAATAGATGACTTACAAGACAAGGTGTAGAGAATCTCTAGACTATAGCAGAAGATGGGAAAGACCCTCAAAATAAACCAACAGAGGAATAAATATGTGCTAATCCATTTCTGTAATAACACCACAATAACAAAAGAAAAAAATTTCATAGGATCGTATTAGTAGATGCATAAAAAGGTTTTGACAAGATTTGACACCCACTTACAATAAAAAACAACTTCTCAACTACATAGGATTAAAAAAAACCTACCTTAAGATAATAAAGGCTACATGAAAGGCCTTTCTGGCTCCTGATCAAGCTGCTCAATGGCCATGATCCCAGAGACTCAGGAGCAAATCTCAAAACACAGTGGCTTTTTGCAGAAATCCCTCCAGATTTAAGTGTTAAAATTTCAGAATTTCAAAAATCACATGGCCCTACTGCAGCCACGCGACATCATATGTTATTCATAACCAGCAATAGAACACAAATTGTCTACTGTTGCCTTTTCAGCAGATCTGAGTATTGGGGTAAAATCTCAAATAATAATGGTGGGCTTGGTGTCGAAATATTGAGTGTGATCAAAGTAGAGAGAGAGTAATGTGGAAATCATCCACCCCACAGATAGGGGGAGGGTGTCAGACGGGGGTATACTGGGGTTTTGGGGGTGGAAAATGGGCACTGGTGAAGGTAGGGGTGTTTCATTTTATGACCGAGACTTAGACCCGAAAGCTTTGTAACTGCTCTCACGGTGATTCAATAAATAAAATTATAAAAAATGAAAAAAAAAGTAAGGTGGAGTTCATTCCCAATTCAATCAGCTAATCAGTGGCTGAATAAATAGCAGTACTCCTACATAAAAAAAAAAGATAGTAAAGGTTATACTCTAGATAGTATAGGCTATGTACAATAACATCACATTTAACTTCTTAGTCAATAGTGAAAAACTGAAAGCCTTCCCTATGAGATTAGGTACATGCAAAGAATCAAATTTCTCCACCATTATTAAACATTGTATTGGAAGTACTATCCAAAGCTATCAGACAAGACATCCAAAGAATTCAAATTAGAAAAGAAGTTAATCTATCACTTTTTGTACATAATATGATAATGCATCTAGAAGACCCTAAGACTTGCAAAAAATAAAAAGAAACAAACCAATACAGCAAAGGAGCAACATACAAAATCAACTCACAAAAAATAATCAATTTAACAAAGGTATCTAGTAAAAGAAATAGAAGACAATACAAAGAAATGGAAAAATATTCCATGTTTGTGTATCAAAATAATTAACATTATTAACATGACTCTACAACCAAAAGAGCATTATGCAGCTTCAATTTAATCCCTATCAAAATTTCAATATTGTTCTTGAAGGATATAAAAAAATTACCACAATGTTTGTGAAGCCACAAAACTCTCTGAATAGCCAAAGCTATTATTTAAAGCTAATATACAAAGATAAATACATAAATAAATAAATAAATAATGAAAGGCGCTGCATTACATAACTCTAAACCATACCAACAGTATTTAAAGCAATGTGGTTCTTGACTAAATGGGGACTCCAAGAAAAGTAGAATACAATTGAGAGTAGAAAAATAAATTCTCAATTAACTAAAGAAGTAGTAAACAGATTCATTTAAAAGGGGGAAGAAAATTCCTTTCAAGGAATAGGCTGAGGCCTGGGCGCGTGCATTGGCTCTCAGGACTGCTGGTTGGCTCCACGGACACGCTCTCCTGGGAGTCGTTCACTGCATGATAGAGTCTGGCGCCCCTGTTGCCGCTTGTACTGCCCCAAGATCACCACCACCGCCCCCTGCCCTGCCGCCACCACCGCCACCACCACCTGTGTCGCCGCCGCCTCTGGGCCGACCGCATGACTAGGCCACAAACTTCAATGAGTAAACATATTCCTCAGTTCTGTGGTGTTCTTGGTGGCACATTTATGGAATTTCTGAAGGGCAGTGGAGATTATTGCCAGGCACAGCACGACCTCTGTGCAGACAAGTTAACTGAGTGGTTAACCTGGACACAGAAGCGTGGAATTAAGATTCACAGATCATTTTACAAGAGTTCTGACCTGGATGTGGTAAACCTCAGTGCACTTCCTTTCTATTGCCTCAGTATTACTGGATTGAAGAGTTGCTGCTTCTTATTAGGAGGCTCATTCCTCATTACTCCCAACTCCATTGCTCGAAGCACTGGGAATTTCAAGTGGAGTATATTGAAGTGGACTCAGTTTCTTTGCATCATTTCTGCATTCAATTTTTAAAATTCTTTCATAACTGAGTGTTTTTTTAACTAAATTTACATGGCTCAAATGAACCACCCAGCTCCTGTGGAAGTCATATACAAGAACATGAGATTTCTTATTACAGACAATCTAACCAAAGCAACCTTAAACAAATTCATAGAGGAACTTCAGAAGTATGGAGTTACCACAATAGTAAGAGTATGTGAAGCAACTTATGACACTACACTTGTGGAGAAAGAAGGCATCCATGGTCTAGATTGGCCTTTTGATGATGGTGCATCACCATCCAACCAGATTGTTGATGACTGGTTAAGTCTTGTAAAAATTAAATTTCGAGAAGAATCTGGTTGTTGCATTGCTGTTCATTGTGTTGCAGACCTTCGGAGAGCTCCAATACTTGTTGCTCTAGCATTAATTTAAGGTGGGATAAAATACCAGTACAGTTCATTAGACAAAAGTGGCATGGAGCTTTTAACAGCAACCAACTTTTGTATTTGGAGAAGTACCATCCTAAAATACGGCTGCATTTCAAAGACTCAAATGGTCATCAGAACAATTGTTGCATTCAATAAAACTGAGGTACCCAATGCCATTGCCTTGGAAATGGAACTTGAGATAGGATCTAATTTGTCGTAGGTACTGGCCAACGTGTTGGCTTGGTGAATAAGTCTAATGAAGCTTCCATGGAAAACAGTTTCACCAGTCCACAAGCTTGACAGAATTGCACCCTCTGTATTTGGCTTATGATCAACCTATCTGGACACTTAGCAAAAAAATTCTAGCTATTCAGCATTTAAGATGCTTATTGTTTGTACCGATTCTTCCTGAAATCATGCAGTATTGAATAACGTCTTTAAATATATTCTCAGGCCAGAATTTTATCAATATGTAAGAAATTTAGAAATATTAGGTGCCAAAATACCCAGCACAATACTTGTATATTATTAGTATCGTACAGAGCCCGGTAAGCTACAGAGAGTATCTCGCCCACACAGCAAAGCCTGGCAAGCTCCCTGTGACGTATTCAATATGCCAAAAACAGTAACAAGAAGTCTCACAATTTGTTGTGAGACGTTACTGGTGCCTGCTCAAGCAAATCGATGAACAATGGGAGGACAGTGCTGCAGTGCTACAGAGATAAAATCCCAGGAACTATGAGCACTCTAGGCCTTATGTGGTTTATTCCTTCAGTCATTTCAAACATAGAAAGTAGAGGATAAGGTTATTTGCCTGCTCACTTTATGTTTACATCTCCCACATTCATACCAGTATACATCAGGTTTGTGCAACTTTTTTTTTAAGCCAAGTCTTAATCCAGCATCTTAGACCGCTCGGCCACGCTACCTAGTGGGCTATAGCACAACCGGTAGGGCCTTTGCCTTGCACGTGGCCCAAGAAGCCGACCCAAGTTCGATTCTTCCGCTCCTCTTGGAGAGCCCGGCAAGCTACCAAGAGTATTTCGCCCTCATGGCAAGCCTGGCAAGCTACCCGTGATGTATTTGATATGCCAAACACAGTAACTACAAGTTCTCATGATGGAGATGTTACTGGGGCTGCTCAAGCAAATCAATGAACAATGGGAGGACAGTGTTACAGTGCTAAACAAAGTCTTACAGTGATTAGGGTCTTTCTATAAATCTCATTTTGTGCTGTTCATTCACTGCCAGTGGGAATGCTGACTAGTTCAGCCCTTTTGGAAAACAGTTTGGACAATTCTCAAAAAATTAGAAATTGAGCTCCCATTTGACCCAGCAATACCACTGCTGGGAATATATCTCAGAGAAGCAAAGAAGTATAGTAAAAGTGACATCTGCACTTGTTTGTTCATTGCAGCACTCTTTACAATAGCTAGAATCTGGGAAAAACCTGAATGCCCGAGAACAGATGACTGGTTAAAGAAACTTTGGTACATCTACACAATGGAGTACTATGTAGCTGTTAGAAAAGATGAAGTCATGAAATTTATCTACAAGTGGCACTACGTGGAAAGTGTCATGCTAAGCAAAATGAGTCAGAAAGAGAGGGACAGACATAAAAATATTGCATTCATCTGGGGAATATAAAGTAACAAATAAGGAGACTAACACTCAAGAATGGCTGAGATAAGTTCCAGGAGGTTTACTTCATGGCTTGGAGGCCAGCCGCTGTTGGGATTGGGAGTTCCCTAGCCCTGGGAGGTGCGGAGAGACCAGATAGACACAATTCCTGCAGGAGTAAAAACAGGGTTTATTTAGACCAGCATGCTGGGGCTCCACAGCATACCCCAAAAATGGGCAGTGGCTGAGAGCCCCGAACTTCTTCAAAGGGGATCTTATATAGGCCTTCACTGGCCGTTACAGCAAAGCCCGCGCATTTCATAGCCAATAGATTTGTAACAACATATACTTTCTTAACCAATCCATTTAAAAGTACCTCACTCCTTAGCCTATAGATTCAAAGATCAGCATTGTCAGCACAAGCAAGGTTATAGCTGGAATCATTAAGCCTTAGGTAATCTCCCTTGACCATTCTCAGAGTTACCCAAATCTGCAGGGTGCTTTAGTGAGACAATACATTTCAGGGACAGTAAATCACTTTCCAAGTCCCCTCTCCCCCAGGTGCAAAGCAGCCAAGCAGTTTTACAGAAAGCAATGTTGCAAGTTAGCTAAAGTGCACAAAAATTTGATGCCCTAATATGGATTCTTTCACCGCACATGCTAGGGAAAAAGGCAGCTCAGATAGAGAAGGAAGCACCAAATAAAGGGTGTTGGGAGGATTCTACCAGGATGGGAGATGCATGCTGAAAGTAAACTATAGACTGAACATGATTGCCACTCAACACCTCTTTTGCAAACCACAGCACCCAAAAGGAGAGAGAGAACAAAAGGGAATGTCTTGCCACAGAGGCAGGGTAGAATGGGGGAATCAGGGGTGGGAGGGATACTGGGATCAGTGGTGGTGGAGAATGGGCACTGGTGGAGGGATGGGTACTCTACGCTATTATATAACTGAAACCCAAGCACAAAAATTTGTAAGTCTACAACTGTACCTCATGGTGTTTCACTAATAAAAATTAAAAAAAAGGAAATAGGCTGGGTATTGCAAACCATAATGCACAAATGGAAAACGAGAGACAGAGAGAGAGCAAGAAGGAAAGGGCCTCCTATAGAGGAAGGCTGGGGGTAGGAGGTGGGGTGTTGAGGGATAGTGGTCGGAAAACAGGGGACATTGGTGGAGGGAAATGTACACTGGTGGAGGGATGGGTGCTGGATCATTGAATGTCTGAAACCCAATTATGAACAACTTTGTAATGGTCTATCTCGTGGATATTTGTATATTCACAGAAAATAAATTGTGAAGGGGTCTCAGGATGGTTCTCTATCTCCACTGCCTACATTCAGTAGTCTTGGGCCACTTCTCCCACCCTGGGGAGGTTAATGGCAATGGGAAAACAAAGGAGGAAACACGGCCCAGACTAGTTGGAGCCAGTTGCAGTTTATTCCATTTCCATCTCCATTGTCCTCTGACTCTCCTCCTGCTTCTTTCTCCCCCATGCTACTTCATTCTCCTTCTCACTTAGGATCCCCCAGCCCTCTCTTACAGCCTAATTAAATCCCCAAGAACGTGGGTGGGGTTGAGGTTTACACATAGGTGTGGTCACAATCAATAGGGGTAAAGTCCTTTCCTCAGGGGAAGCTTCTTCTAGGACAGATTCTCATTCAGCAGGACAACCCACCCAAGAGCGGAATCTCATGGGTGTGTTTCTCCTCTCCTTGTCCAACAAACATATAAACATTCATAATATTAATCATTTTGTATGGACACAGTAAGAGATACATTAAGATTATAGAATTGCTCTCCTGGGGTCATCTCGATCTCAGACTACAGTGCTCAGGCCAGATTAGTCTTTTCTATCCCTAGCAGGGTCCTAATCTTGTCGTTACTTTTGGATCATGACAGCATTTGTCCATGACCATGCTCTCAACTTATAGCTGAGTATTGTGGCACTTTGGCCTGGCCCATTTCAATGCCAGGGTAGCTCACAGCTTGCCTTGGCTCCATCCAGTCCCTCATCGGACCCTGCTTTTGGGGTGCTAGGGACTAAGGGCAACTGAGGCTTAAGTCGAGAAAGCAGATGACTCGGAGCGAATAATATTTGAAGCCAATTGAATCCCAAGTTACAAAAGTATAATATTGACTGTCTTCCTGTGTCTATACAAAAATGACATTGCTTTAAAGTAAACTACTCAAAAGACATAAGGAGATGCGAAAGACAATGTTAACTTACAATGCAAGTTCAGTGTGCTAGAAAGATGTGACCTTAAAAATTAACAGAATCTGATTAGGGGAAAAAGTTGATTTAAAAGTTGGGAAGGAGAGGTACAGCCCGCCTCCAAGGGCCTGGGACCCTTTCTGGGCATGCGCACGTAGATCCAGCCCCTAGACAGCCGGTTTTCAACCCCTGAGCTGCGCGGGACGGGCACGGAGGCCCAGCTCTGGGCAACAAAGCTGAACGGCTCCAATTCCAAACAGGAGACGTTCCCAACTCCTCGCCAGTGCCAGGGACTCTTTCCGGAGCCGCGGCCGCTGACGCAGCCGCGAAATATTTTCCCACTACATATGCCTTAGGAACCATAAGCTACCTTCTTAGATGGAAACTTCTCTATTTTAGCTCAGCCACTAGAAACACAGTAGCCAATAACTCATAAGCCTATCTTAACTCACACTGCATATCAAGCAGAATAGTAACAGTGAACGTGAAGGACTAAACCACACCTCTCACAATGGTAAAGCAACGCAAAAGCCCACCAAACTTTCATATTGAAGAGTCTAGCCCAGATGACACCAACAGTACTGTAGTGTTAGACAACCTCTCTGACAAGGAATTCAGGAGGGAGCTACTTAGGATGCTTAGGGAATTAAAAGAAACAATGGAAAGCAATGCCATTAGAAGACAAGAGGATCTGAAGGCAGAAATGAGGAAAATGCAATCAGAAATATCAGACCTGAAAAATCTCGTAGGCGAATTGAAAAGCTCAGTGGAAGGCCTCAGCAGCAGAGTAACAGCTGCTGAGAACAGAATCAGTGAACTCGAAGATGAAGTTCAGCGACTCTCCAGAAAAGAGCAGAAAATGGAAAAGAGACTCACAATTCGGGAACAGATGGCAAGAGAAGATCGTGATGAAGCCAAGAGGGGTAACATAAGAATTATTGGAGTCCCAGAGGTACAGGAAGAAAACCTCGATGAAGAAGAAACTGTCAAAGAAATCATTGCTACAACATTTCCAGAGCTGAAGAAAACTTGTGACCACATTCAGGAGGCCCGAAGGGTACCAGCTAGAAGAAATCCGAATAAAAATACCCCAAGACACATTCTGGTCAAAATGACCAAAACCTTAGACAGAGACAAAATTCTGAAAGCAGCAAGATCGAAGAAAGAAATCTCTTACAAAGGAGCATCCTTAAAATTCACAGCTGATTTTTCTGATGAAACCCTCATGGCCCGAAAACAGTGGTGGGACATAGTGAAAAAACTCAATGAAATAAATGCCTCTCCAAAAATACTTTACCCAGCGAGACTCTCATTCATAATAGAAGGAACAACACACAGTTTCACAGACAAACAACAGCTCAGGAACTTCATAGACTCAAAACCATGGTTACAAGAACAACTAAATGGGCTACTTTAAGGCAAGAAAGGCCCCTCAAATACACCAAATTTTAACAGAACAATGGGACAAAATCCCATAACAATAATCTCTCTCAATGTCAATGGG